ATCGACATCAGTATGATAGGCATGCGCGTGATGGACGAGATAGTGAAGCCTCTGCGCGAGATCGACATCGATGACACAGAGTTCGCTTGCCTAAAGGCAATCATCTTCTTCGACCCAAGTCAGTATACAATCATGATCTACACAATAAATGCTAAATCAATCTACGCAATATATGCTAATTTCGTTTTTAGGATTCCGTACCCGGGAACCCTATTACTACGACTTCTCTGTCCGTCTCTCTGTCGTCAGGCTGTGAAATTTAGACAGTTGAAACTTTCACAGATGATGTATTTCTGTTGCTGCTTCAACAACAAATACTAAAAGCCAGAATAAAATAATTATTTAAGTTGATGGTTTTTTAATCGTATTATTTGTAAAGGAACGAATTCAAACCTTTTTATCCGTTTCAGTGTCATGGTTTCTTTATAAAATTGTTTCTAACTGAATACTGCCGTCAGTGATTTAAACTTTCACGTTTAAAATATGAGGTCATCATCACCAGCCATTTTGCGTGCCCGCTGCAGGGGCTCAGGCCTTGGATGATTAAGATTAAATATCAGTTACAGAATGTATTGTTTACAGATGCCAAAGGTCTATCTCAGCCGCAGAAGATAAAGCAGCTGCGTTATCAAGTGCAAATCAACCTGGAGGACTATATAAGTGACCGTCAGTACGACGGTCGCGGACGTTTCGGCGAACTGCTACTATGCTTGCCGCCGTTACAGAGTATCACGTGGCAAATGATAGAACAGATACAGTTCGCCAAACTGTTTGGAGTCGCGCACGTCGACAGTCTGCTGCAGGAGATGCTACTCGGTGGTGAGTTCAATCAGCATACCAATGTCCCAGCAGTTATATGAAAAGAAGAGATATGTTCGATCGATCGTGGGGTGGGAACCTGGTGATTTATTATTTCAGGCTAAGCCTACTGTAGACACCAGTCTCCCACAAATTAACGAGCAAAATAAACTACAAAAAATGTATGTACCCATTGTGTAGTATGTGAATTTGTGAGGAGAAATAAACATATTTGAATTTATTATTATTATTGTTATAATGTCCCAGCAATGGAATTTCTTAAGTTCAGAATTTCCAATTCCCGAAACGTCCCGTTGACTGTTTTAGGAAATGTATTTACAACTTTCATATGATCATATTAAACCACTGTCAGATTTATTTTTCTTCAATAAGTTGTTCTTTAACGAATAAAATGTATTTTTCCTTATTTAAAAGAATTTTGTTTACTCACGTGGCAATAAAAATGAGTACTAAACGTAAAGACGTTGACGTTTTATTTATTGAAATATGACGTCACACGATGCTCCGTCATGGCCGCCCGCATTTCGGTTCTTATAATCCAAGTTTATTTTGATAAAATATATTATAAACCCGCTGGCGGAAAGCCAGTATAACTGTCTAGTAGCCAATTATTAAAAACTCTACTAAGGACACTAAACCGCCATGATATACATATAGGTTTTCGTTGTGAATGATGATGCAACACTAATTTCGGACGAACAGCTATTAGATAAAGATAATTATTCTGTAGTGTGGATACTTTCGTTTTTCAGATTTCCATAATAAAAGTGCTTTAGGTACTTTTGATCTGAGGGCTCAGTAAGTTCGTCCATCAACGAAAAATTGGAAAATTATGAACTCTTCTTAAAATCATATACATAAAGATTATGAATCAGAAGCAGTGTCAGCTCCTGCCTCTTTTGCATCATAAATTAATAGAAAACGGGTCTTTTTTAAGTCATACTAGCGATTCGAAATGAGACGAAATTTCGTTTTCTGGAGAAATTTGTAGGTCTTCAGATAAACGTTTGTGAATTTTTCTTAATTAATTATATTCAATTGTCATCTATAGGAGCATCTACGGACGCTGTTGAGGGTGGGGCGGGAGTAGGCGCGGGGGCGGGGGCGGGAGCGGAGGCGGAAGCGGGAGCGGGCGCGTCTTCACCGCCGCTAGTGCCGGTGGTGCCGTTACCTGACGCCAGCTTCCTCGACCCCATGCCCTTCAAGCAGGAGCCTAACATGTGAGCACGTACAAATATACCGGTGACGGATACATCTCATCACTACACCACAATTGTCAGTGTAAAAAAAAATCACTAAACAGTTGCCAGTGCAAAAATCGGATTACTAAGACAAGAAAACATCATTATTTAATAAATCTAAACATCGAACTTGCAGTATACTATTCGCTTCTATGCATGAAAATTGTACAATGGCAGTTGTATAGGTTGTTTTAATGGTTCATAAAGGAACGTTATAACGTTATATTCAATGACAAGGATCTACAAAGCTACGTACGTTAGCATTCATAGCCTACGCCAACGAAATTATTTTATTGATCTTATAGGCACAAGGATAAGGTTTAGTGTTGAATATACGTTTGACGTTCGTTAGCTCGGTCTGTACGTGCTGTAATAGCGTACACATTAGTGTAGGCTATTATTATACGTATTTCACGGACAGTTAGGGTTTTTAACTTGGAATGTGGAAAGACACAGTTTAAGAAGTTTTGGTAGGTTTCGTTTGAGAAAACGACGAAATATATTTAAGGTTGCACGTGTTGCTAGAAGACGCCACATTTTGATGCGCTTTAAAATTGCGCACCGAACAAATAAAATTATATATATATTCATCAAAATCCCTATAAAATATTTTATTAAATCGTATTTTGATAGAAATGTTTACTTATTATATCTTGTAAAATTGTTCATCAAAGATACTGTGCCTTATCACTTTGAGAATTTTTAATATACAAGTATTTTTTAAGATCGGTTGTTATATCATTTAGTTATAAGTGAATTATTTAAGAAAGTTAAGAAAACAATTAAAATAAGTTACTTTATATCATGATGACAACTATCACCTAAAATATTTTTAAGTACTACGATTTTGGGAGAAGTATACAAGCACGTTAGTTACCATAATAAAGCCGGTATAGAAAAGCCGTATGGCGGAATACTGTCACAAATGGGAACTGATCAATCCCTTCTTTTTTTATCAATTTTCGACCTGACTAAAGCAGCGCTTATAAGCTATTTGTCGCTTTTTTATTCATAAATAGCTGTTTATTACTTGTTTATTACATGTTTTTCCCCTAATAATATAAAAACAATGTATTTTATGGTCTATGCCGTATTAATGCCCCTCCCAGCCCGGGGGGGGGGGGGGTCCACTAACGGTGCTGCGAGCGCGGTCCAGTCAGTACCTTGAGATCTGGTTGTCCAGTAATTACCTTTTCGAGCCTAAGAATGACATAAAGTACAGCGTTTTTATCCCTTCTGGGGAAAAACGTTCGTTAATTCATGGTCTGTGCGGTCAGCTTGACCATGTGAGATATTTTTGGGTTGTGATGTCGCGGGGGAAGCCTACTGATAATCAGATAGGTAAATAAGTAAATGCTTGTGTAGTGAATTCAATTAAAACAATAACATTTTCGAAGAAAATTGATTATATTTGAATCACAATGAAATAAGACATAAATCAAAAGCTTCAGTGGGAACAATAATAGGAACCTTAAATAGTACTTAAACTAGCATTAACTAAAGTTGAGTCAATGGAATTTAAACAATTTCCACGCTAATTGACGATATGTGTGATTATCAGTTTTTAATCCAAAATCGGGCCAATAGTTACCGATGAGTCGTCAATAGACATACTTTAATTATCGATCCTGAGAACCGTGAGATCGTGAAGCTAGTAGTAATATTAGAGCTAAGTGCCGTACTTGAAATACACTGTCTTCCTATATTATAGCGTTTCTCATCCAGGTGATAATGGTTTTAATATCCCAAATCCGCTTCTTAGTAAGAATTGTGTTGCTATGATCACATCGTCCTGTAGTTTTATTGGATTTTGGTTGGCAAGCAGGAAGTCATCGAGGTAAACAATAACTCTGATCCCCATCTGCCTTAGGCACGACGCCAGCCAGTTTGATACCCTTGCGAAGGTTAGGGGAGCTGTCGATAGGCGAAACGGGAGGCATGTAAATTTCAATACTCTGTCCTGATAGACTATTGAGAGAAATCTTCGATGACGGGTGGCTACAGAAACGTGGAAGTAAGCCTGATGAAGATCTATTTTTGCAAGTTAATCTTCTTTCTGTAGAAACAGAAGTACATAGAAATTCTTTATCAGTAGAAATTTCTTTGGTGACAAATATTTGTTTAGGGCTCTGAGGTTTATTATAGAACGAATTTTGTTGTTGGGTTTTGGGACTAGAAACATAGTCGACAGGTTGCCAGACTTGGACGTTGTCCCTTCTAGAACTCCCTGATTTATGAGTGATTAAATTTCCAAATCCAATGTTTTTATCGCGTTTTGTTTCCGGATTCCTGCTTGAAAAGGTATGAGTGGGAGTTGCTTCACGAAGAGAATGAGGTACCCTCTGATTATATTCATAATACTTGATGACGCCCCCTCCATGTTCCAAACCTCTATAAATTTTAGAAGCCGCCCTCCACTGAAACCTTCAAAATCTGTGCTTTTTTGACGAGTGTCCCCCAATGGGGTTCTCTTTTGATGCCTTTCCTCGAGAGGTAACTGGCTTTTGTCTTGATTTTTGGAGATGTTTGGACGTTTGAAAAGCCTTGACGCTTTCGGCTCTCTCTCCGTCGGCCAGGCTTATCGAGGTGTTGATGCAACATCAAATCGTTTGGGCTGCAGTGGTTTTCTATAGGGGATACGAAAAAGCTCTGATGTGATGGCTGCTTGAGCGACCCCACTTATTGTTTCTTACAGAACAGATGCGTTGTGGAAGGAGGTATATAAGGAGGCAACGAGAAGAGGCTTGATATGCATTTTTCGGGAGGAGTGTATTTCTTCTTTGTTCAATAACCTCTGCCGTTCTGCCACATACATATTGCAGTAAATTATCTGAGACTATCTTCAGTGGTGAGTCTGTCGACAAGATACTTTTAAATCTTTCATAGCCGAATGTTTGGTTGCCAGGTCCTTTAGAGTATTTGACAGAGCGTCCCTCTGGAACAGTAAGGCATGCGTTATGACGATGACATGAAGGTTGTCGTGATGAGATTGGTTTTCAAAGGATCGAAAACTGGGTAAGCATGTAGTTTATTCTGCACTTCAGCATATCTTATCTGATTAAAAGTGATATCCCCCAAGCGCTGACATTGTATGCCTTGTGTAACAATGTATGGCTTAGGAGCCCGCATAGAAGGGTCATGTTGCTTGGTGGTTTCTGACCAACTATTCTTCCTCTGTATAGGCTAAAGGAGAGACCCATGGATTTGGAGACGAGACTTCCGGCTGAGTAATGTCTATTTCGCCCTCTGCTGGATTTTGCGACGCCATATCGCCTTCTGAACATGACCCTGAATAAGCAGTTTGGAAACTTTGAATGAACTGTTCCATCATGAGTTTCAGCTCCTATTGGTCTTTTTCAACTCTTTCTAGGCGAATTGTCCTCTTGCTTTTTTTCTGATAACTTAGATCGGAAAGTTCCCAGTTTGCTGCCTGTCTGCTCTTCAGAAGGGGCTTCATCCTCGCGACTGCAGCTATCACAATTTCGTTTTGTATTGCTGAGCCTCTTATCCGAGTAGCTAGAGACATGATCAGCCCAACGCATAATGGCCAAAGTTTTACTTTTGTTTCTGAAGGTCTTCTCTGACAAGGAAGTACGTTCTAGGGAGAAAGCCCTGGCCAATCCTATAGTGGGTATTGCGAATTTTATTTTGAATCTGGGGGGCCAATTCACCCCCTAATCCATCTTTGGTCAAGATTCTAATCTTCCACTCCAACCATCCATCTGGCAGCTGGTCCTTAACTGGTGACTAACCTAAGCCGGTGTTATTTTTCATTTCAGTAATGACAGATGTTATATTCGAACGAACACACGTCGTTATAAAATTTCATCACAAATGACATAATCGAAAGCGTACTACTGGACCGCGCTCGCAGTACCATTCATGGAACGTCCCCCCCTCGCGCGGGGCTGGTAGGGGCATTGACACATCTGTTCACGTGAAGATGTGTAATCTCATATGGTCAAGCGGCACAGACCATGAAATGATTTTATAGTATTATGAATCACACCCATTCTATTTTCCTCTATCTCAGCGTTTATTAATGTGCTCCGCGTAGATCTAGAGTTCTGCAAATTGTGTATGTTGGGTTCCACCAAAATATCGATCGTATTTCAATGTTTTCGTGCACTAGGTTTTATTTTATGACTCTATGTAAATATTTTATTTCCAAAGAGTTGTCTTCAAAAATGTTTAAAAAAACACTGCCGTATCGATACATTATGGTAGGAGATGCAATTTCTAATTAGTCTATGTAACAAACGTTTTATCAATCATGAAATTATATTGTTTTTTGAGTTAAAGTGATAATTTTAAACAACTATTGTCTCCTTTACTACCGTTAGGAAGGTGACAATTAATTTTATGGACATCAGTTATTTATGTAAGACGAGTTTATGAAGAACCATCAACCACATAAATTAGAGCTGCTAAGATGCAACTTAAGAGTTCTTATAATATTCTAATAAATGAACTCACATTTAGTCAGATTTCACTTTAATTAAATGGCATGTGAGCTTCTCATCGGTTTCACTAACTTTTGGTTATGGTGGTATTTCTATTTGCATGAAGAAATGATATTTAATAAATTGTTTTGTTTGTAACCAGGAGTCCTGAACACAATTCACCAATGACTGACGGAGACATTATGTTATTGTAATATGATCGAAAACTTTTAAGTTACTTTTTTCAAAGCACGTTTTTATTTAAAATTATATCTATGTAGTTTCATTATTTTAATAACTTTGTTGTGTCAACTTATTTTGCCAGTCATTAAATTCTAAAAGTCCTTTTATAATAAGTTTGGTGTCTGATTTTGTTATCTTAATATTGTTAATTTTCGTATAGGTGTAGGTATTATTTTCGCCAATTTGTCCATTATCATTGATAGCAAATTTTGTTGCACAAACAAGACTTAGGTTATAATAGCGTAATTATATTTATTTGATTACATGCGACCACAAAATAACATCAAAACGAAGCCAAACAATTTTTTTTTTTTTAGTTTTGAAGAGTAATGCAACAGAATTGGCAACATTATCGTGATAATCTAATTAGACTGTGTAACGTGAGTAAACTGTTTTAAATGCAATTAATTAGGGTGTGTAACCAAAATAAATGTTTTATAGAGCTCGTATAAATGACATATGAATCGTAGATGAATATATTTGTATTCTATATTTTCCTATTTATCATGGCCAGTCTTTACAAAATTAATTAATATATAAAGGACTTGTTTATTTGTTTGTGTTACCAAGCAAAACTAGGGGATGGATTTGAAATGTGTTATTTACTTAGGAATTTTAGGATGGATTTTGTTGTATTGTTACTAGTAAAAAGCTGTTATGCACGAACCGTAGACTGTATCTACATTTTGTAGAATTGTTATAAGTAATTTTATGTAATACTATGTATGTTAGAAGTCATATTATACATATGAAATGCTCAATGTAAGAACCCTTGCCAAATGTTTGGTATTGTTTATGTAAATTATATTTGTAAGCAGGTGAAAGTTTTATACCATAGGGAGTGTGTTTAGTATTGGTTATGAGATGTATGTATCATGTTAAATATTTAATGAATTTTAATAGTAAGTGCCTTATGTTATTACCCTACCACACTGTGTGTAGGATGGTGTATTGTTGAATGTAAATATTATGTTGCGATTTGTATATTATATATTTTAATAAATAATCTGTTACCTATTTCGTTTTGTTATTTTTCGTCTCCTATTTTTTGGTTTCAAAAAATAATTATTAAACATTATTTTTGAAATAAAGATTCTAGGTAATAATTTGTTAAATACCAATGTAGGTTCAAGAACAATTTACAGAATTAGCTATGATTACATAGCTAGTTCTGACATTGGTAGCAAACTTCGCATCAATTTCCAGGGTTGGAAGGTTCAAGACGTCTACGAATTGCTTTTTTTTTTTTACTACAAAATCATACCAATGTAAAAAAAAAGAGTAATACAATAACATTAATCTTCCATGTTTGTATATATCAGCAAAATTCAAACTACCCTACTATTATAGAAAGAGCAATGTAAGTATTTTATATTAAAAAAATATAATTTAAAGTCCCTATTCATTTGCGGATGGTTTCTCGGAGACGTCCATGTAGCCTCTCCGCCTGTCGGTCCGATTCTTGCAGCACAGATATAAAACTGATATAGCAGACACCACAGACATCGCTATCAACGGTATGTATACAGTTACTACCCATTTGTCGGCACATAAAGCGAACATGGAATCTTATTATTTATATTTTACTTATTGTAATAACCTATTAGGTTGACAGCAACTTGATAATATTTAAGTACTGTACTCTTTGACTCCTCTTTGACAATAGTAAAATTATGCCCTTTGAGCTTAACTTTCATAAAGAAAGAAAAAAAAATGTAGTCCGCCAATCAAAGATAGAAAAATTTTGATTCATGTTTTTTTTTTTGCTTCAATTTAAACAAGAAATGGGTTAGGTAATAGACATTAAAGGAGTGGAGGCTCGCTTTTTCACAGTTTTGTAGAAAATGTACAAAGCGTGACGTAATACGACATTTTAACTCAATTTATCGCCGTAATTTATTGATTATTTAAAAAATAGTATAAAAATACGTATTTAATATTCTTAAATAATCTACCTGATGGTCAAATAAACAAAAATGTGTCTTCATCCCTATTGACCAGAGTAGATCAGAAAACTTTTGTACAGGTCATATATTTTATAACATATAATATAATATTGGACCTGTAAAAATATTTAAAATCTTCTTTTTATTATATGTATAAATTTGAATTTAAAATTTATACACGGCATTTTTATAGAAAAAGCAGTCGCCTGATTGCAAGGTTTTGGGTTCCACATTGATGAATTTTATACAAAGATATTTTGAAAAATAACAAACAATACTTGATACAATGAGGAAGTATTAAAAAAAAACATTAGTTCCCGAAATCAAACTAGATGTCGCCACGGTACGTTCTTGATTTCTCCAAGACAACCTTTCCGGTTTCCTTTCGAGTTTAAAAGTAAATTAGTTTTCAGAACTCTTTAAACAACTCATATTCTATTAATACTTTTTCGTATTTGTATTGATATCTAAGTTTCGAACTTTTCAAATTTCAGTTTTTTTTGTTAGTTTAAACTTTAAAGGTACGAAAATGACTGTCTTTGGTCCATTCGTTTCCTGCAAAAGTCAACTTTTGCTAGAGTCGCCATCTAGTGGAGGAGCTTATTTAGTGCTTTCGTTTTTTTAAATATTTTAGCGATGTTTAAGAAATAATGTACTGTCAACAGTACGTGAGACTATACGAAACTGTTTTTGTCTACTTGATTATTAATTAAACTTATGTATTGAGAGTAGAGTTCGAAATCCATTGTGGAAATATGACATATTTAACATTGTGCTTAACTGACGTGTGTACAGATAATATCTCATTTTTAAATTTCAAAACATTTCAATATGAATTCATAAAATATTAAAACTTTTTACATTCCGCGTGTATTCACCATTTTAAAGTTTATATAATTTTGATTAAATAATAACAAAAACAATAAAAATACACATTTATTTATGAATACAATAGCACCAGACTAGTCGATAGTAAGAAATATTTAAAAAAAACATACAGCTTTTATTTCTAAATAAAAATATTTTTCAGTCATATATCTAAAACACTTACAATAGTAAAATTATAACATGAAAGGCCTCTTAGGCAAAACTTACTATACAAAATATTGTATACACATTGCAAACAGTACCTCTTGTACTTCTTCTCTTGTACGGAACTTAATTTATTATAGTACATAGTTTTAAGACAGGTGTTTTTTTTTTTTTCAAAGTACAAATAGAGTCTTGGACCATTTTTTCAAAATTGTCTCAAACTGATCCTGGCATTGTAGGTTCGTGACGTCACTTCTCATGATCGATTGCCAGATAAGATTGACTCTACCGAACATCGCCTGACAGAAGATTTTACTGAAAGTTATAATTATAAAATACACTGTAACGACCGTTTATTTTGTCCTAGGTTTCCGCATGCAAACTTTTTGTCTTTGATCTTCAACATCATTTATTTTTATTATTCACCTTTCGCAATTTGAAATTTTGAGTAATCCAATATGCTCTTTATGATTAGTCAGTTCGTGAAAAAATCATCCGGCGAGAACATGATAATTTATTCATATTAAATTATATAAATAAGAAACATGTAAACGTATCTCTTCGTGAAATATCTACTAAGTTCTACCCATTACGGAAAACCCAGCAACGAATTTTTTTTGATTCATCATCATGACCAGCCCTTTTACGTCCCCTTATGGATGGTTAAGGAGGATGGCCCAATGCGTATTAACGACTGCAAATGCACGACCGGGACCAACGGCTTAACTTGCCTTCCGAAGCACGGAGTAGCCCGAGATAATAATATTTTGGTCACCCATCCTATGACTGACCCTTGTTAAAGTTGCTTAAAGACAACGATCGCGGGCCGTGGCGCTTATCCACTACGCCACCGAGCTACTTTTTTTGGTTACTCTTTAATAAATCAAGTTCTCAAGCTTAGTCGGACTTCTATTCATTTGCCTAAGCATCGAACTCGTCACAACACTAAAGATAAAAAATATATTTAAAATCGCTAAGTTTTTTATGCCTAATTTTATCATAAAAGTCTGTACATGTTACAAACTGAATTGCAACGAATGCATAATGCTAATTTCTCTATACCAACGGTGAGTATGTTCATGTGTATTTTTGTATCAGTTTGGATACAAATTTGGCTGTAGTAGCCCTATAATGACAGCGAGTTATGACGTCACGTAGTATACTTATAAACAGTGTTTCAGATAACATTATTTTGACACTAAAATGATTATTTTAAAGATTAAAAATACAATAATATCATTTAATTGATATACTTTTTTACTTTTAAAATGTATTCCAACAGAATTACGACAGTCCAAGACCCTTATAATGTTACATAACAACAACGTTTAAGTATTAACGTTTTTTGCCTTTCCCGATATTTTTTCTCGTTTGATAGCATATCCGTACTTCTTCCAACCATATTATGATCATAACTAGAAGTGACATACATGTCATACTTTTGTCTATTTATAAAACAGATCTATAAACTTCGAGAGTATAATGTGAGATTGAAAAATCATTTTTGTTTGAAGTATTGAGTTATGGTTAAATTCTTGAGCAAAATTTACATTAGCTACGAAAGTAGTTACATATATGAAACCAAAGATAGGTTTCATGAAACTAATTTCGACGCATGTGCAACAGGGATGACGACTGGGTAAAAAAAGAGATTCTATTTAGTCGGATAATAAAAAAATATTAGATACGTTCTTTTTTTTTCAATTTAACAAGATATAGTTTAGACAACAGGCATTAAAGTTGAGGAGTGGGCGCTAGCTATGTCACAATTTTGTAGAAAATGTACCATAATGTGACGTCATGGTACATTTTGACTCAATGTCTCGCCTTGATCTAATGATTACGAAAAAAATACGCATTTAATATTTTTCAACAATCTACCTGACGTACAAATAAACAAAAATTAGTCGTCATCCCAATTACTTTAATGACAAGCAAAAACAGTAACTCTGACAGCCAGTTGCACAAACGTCCATTAAGTCCAAACGTATATT